TCCATCCATCCATCCATCCATCCATCCATCCATCCATCCATCCATCCATCTATCTATCTATCTATCTATCTATCTATCTATCTATCTATCTATCTATCTATCTACCTCTCCCTTCTCCACGTCCCAAACGCTGCGCGACCACATCAAACGCAGCGGAAAAACCATCCGGAGAAAACCACTTGCCGCTTCTAGCGCTAGGGTGGCAAGCGGAATCGGCGCTTTTCCTGGCCGCGTAAAAACAATAGTAGGAGGCGAGGAGGCGGCGGCGCTTCCCGAGCGCAGTTAAGTTTCGCTTTCGAGTTTGGCTCCTTCGGCCGCAGGAAAGCAAAACTCAGCGGAGGGGCGGGGACAGCGGCTGGTTGAAAAGGACGCGCGGGGAAGGCGCCCGGCGGCTGATCGCGAAGGAGAGAGCCGAGACGATCCACAGACCCGATGCCTGCGGTAAGGCTCACCCCAATCTCTCCTTTCTAACCCCCCCTCCCCACGTTGCTTTTCCACGCTTAGCATCCCAGCCGTATGCGCGTCATCCTGATCTATGGCATTAAATCCCCCCCACACACACACCCACACACCTTGTTGGGTTTCCTCAAGGTTTTTTTGCAAGCCTTTTCCCAAAGATTTTGCAAGTCGAGGGATGCGCGACGGTTGGCTGAACCCCGATGTGTGGCTTACTCGTGGGTTAAGCCGCCGAAAGAACTTAAGCGGACCCAGTCTGCCACTGCATTATGATGGGTCCCGATTTGGTTTTATTGCGATGGAAGGGAGGAAGGAAAACGAGGAAAATTGTTGTTAAACCACAAGTTGCACAACTTAAAATTCAGTACAGTAAATAGTGGAACAGTAAGAGGAAGTAACGAATATAGGATAATCGTAAAATGAGGCTATAAAAAGGAATAAAGTGAAAAGAAGATAATGCCAGAGCGAAGACGTGAGAATTTAAGATTTTTTTTCCCCTTAAAGCTACGATTAAAAATGTAATAATTTTTTTTTAAAGTTTTAAGTGACAGCAGAAGGAAAGTAGCCGCATAACTGCTAACAGCTGGAGACACCTCTGCAAGAAGGGCATTCAATTATTTAGTATTATTTAATTATTAGTTCTTGGATTCACCTCCCGGGAATAATTTGGATTTAATATCTCATAAACAGGATGGTGGAGAAGATAATGAATAAATGTCCTCTGCTTGGCGGGAGCAGAACAAGGACCTTGTTGGGCAGGGAGTTTACGATGGAGATGCGTCCGTGAGGGCATGATCTGTAAGCAAAAGATATAAAAGTCCTTTTCGGTAACTGACTGGTAATATTAACCAGGTCCTGGGAGAGCGGCTCCAGTGTTTTTGTAGTGATGGTACCAAGATGACCATCTGGATGATTGCAACATCTTTATTGGAATCCCTTTTAGTTTAGCTACCCTGCTTCCCTGAAAATAAGACATCCCCTGATAATAAGCCCAATCGGGCTTTTGAGCGCATGCACTAAAATAAGCCTCCCCCTGAAAATAAGCTCACCCCAAAAATATTTAAACACAGAGCTGGAAATCAGGTAAGGCGGCAAGAGAAGCCCCATCTTGCTCCACGCGCCCCAAAATAATAAGACCTCCCCAAAAATAAGGCCAAGCGTTTATTTCAGGGTTCAAAAAAAAATAAGACAGGGTCTTAATTTCGGGGAAACACTGTAATATTGTGATGTCCAAACCTGGTTGGAGTAGCTCTTGACACTCTATGCTGGAGGCTAAGGAGAGAAAGGGTATATAAGCAGTTCTCGATTTACAGAATAACAGTGTCGGAAGGAACCCTGGAGGTCTTCTAGTCCAACTCCCTGCTCAAGCAGGAAACCCTATACCAGGGGTGGGCAAATGTGGCCCTTTTACAACCTGTGGACTTCCAACTCCCAGAATTCCTGAAACAGCCAAGCTGGCTCAGGAATTCTGGGAGTTGAAGTCCACAGGTCATAAAGGGGCCATATTTGCCCACCCCTGCCCTATAGCATTTTAGTTGTCCAATTTCTTATAAATCTCCAGTGTTGGAGCACCCAGAAGATTGTAAAATTGGCACTGTTCACTTAACAATTCCCTTGCGTAGCAAACTCTAGTCCCAATTGTGTCCATAAGTTGAGGACTACCTATATAAAATTTGCGGACAGTTTGAATCACCCCAATGCACCCAGACTGGTGAAGGTTTTAATAAATATTGATTGCAAAGCAAGTTAGATCTCCTTCCCTGTTTTATTCAGAACTATCAGCCTTCATGTTTATTCTCAAATTAAATCGGAAAAAAGTTAGTAAAAGGGATTTTTTCCCCCCTCTTGCCCTTTATCTTGGAAGCAAGACCTTCAGTTCTTTGCAAGAACTGCAAAGAAAGCAGATTGCTTAGGTGATGTAATCCAATTTTTGTGAGGTTACATGCATGAACTAGTTAGGCAGGCTCTGATCACCAGATCTGGTGGGTTAAAATGTTATGGCTTTATATATATTCAAAAGCCCACAAAATACATATGAATTTTATCTGAATTTTTAAATGTATGGTTCATATTTATTGTTTTAATGTTTTATGTGGTGTTTTTAATTGCACGACTGTAAGCCGGCAGCCTAGAATTCTAAAAATAAATAAAACATTCTAACTATAAACTTTATTTAGTCCTATGATTCTAAAGTTAGCTAGGAAATTTAAGACATTTCCCCGTTAGATACAAACCTGTTTTAGGAACAAAACCATACATAAAATGCTATCTTCCTTGATAACACCTAGCTGTTTTTTTGATACCTGCTCTGTTCCAAGTCACAGTAAATGCTATTGTTGTTGTGGTATGTGACTGCTGTTGTCCAGGCAAAGTGGTTTCTCCTCTACTTTTACTGCCTGTCAATTTTCAGCACACGCCCAGCCAGAGAGGAAAACATCCACCATTTTGGGGGGTGCGGGAGGTGGAGTTTGCATCAGCAATCGGCAACATCTTATTTTAGGATTCTGCTTACTTTGTTTGTTTTTCCCACCTCTTTCCCCTCACCAGTTTAGTTATTTCTCATGGTAAGGTAAAGGTTCCCCTTGCACATATGTGCTAGTCGTTCCCGACTCTAGAGGGCGGTGCTCATCTCCGTCTCAAAGCCGAAGAGCCAGCGCTGTCCAAAGACATCTCTGCTCACATGGCCGGCATGACTAAACATCAAAGGCGCACGGAACGCTGTTATCTTCCCACCAAAGGTGGTCCCTATTTTTCTATTTGCATTTTTACGTGCTTTTGAACTGCTAGGTTGGCAGAAGCTGGGACAAGTAACAGGAGCTCACCCCATTACGCGGCGCTAGGGATTCGAACCGCTGAACCGCTGAACTTTCGATCGGCAAGTTCAGTGTCTTAGCTACTGAGACAACACGTTCCTTATTATACATTCTCATTATTATTCATTCTCATAGTAATGTATAATAAAGAAACTTGGAGGAAGGCACTGGGACAGAATGAGCAACTAGATCCTTTAAAGAAGGAGAAATGAGACTGTTTAGCTGTTAAACGTCTATTGTGAACTAAATTGGAGCAATACTCCAATCCACTCCCCCGCCCTCCTATTTTCTGGATGTTGTTATGAGGAGAAGCATAGCTAAGACATCTAAAGGTGAAGATAGATTGCTGAAAGCTATTGAATTGGAATAGTGTATGGACAAGTTTCCAGTTCTTCAAATAGTGATGTGCAGGGTGGATTTGATTTAAATCGAGTTGATTTAAATCACGATTTAAATCACTAGTAAAAAGGCTTGATTTAAATCAACTCGATTTAAATCATAATTTTTAAAGAGCAACTGTCATCTCTGCTACTCCTTTGACCCACTGTTGACTCACCGATAGTCCCAGTGTTGCAGAATATACAGCCTCATGCTACATAACTAAGCTCCATTTCATGCTGAATAAACTAAATTATTTATGTATCTTAAATAGAAAACTACCTTACGATAGATTTTTACCCCAAAAGTTTTTTATTAAAATAAATTAAATAAAAATTAAAAAAATCCAATTTAAATCAAAAAAATCCAATTTAAATTAAAAAATCTGATTTTTTTTATTTTTTTTAAAAAAATCATTAATTTTTATCCACCCTGGTGATGTGGCGATTTCAGAACATTGAGAGAATATGCCCCAAAGAACCTCTTCTCTTTCCCCAAATAAACTGGAGGATCTCTGCTGTCTTCTAGTGCTGGTTACAATTCAAGATCAAAGTTGGGAAGCTAGAAAAATAACTGGTACAGAAAGAACTTGGAGCAGAGTGTAATCAGATAAGACCACTGAACCAGATCTCCTCTGCATGATAATGAGTCACCATCACTACAGATTTTACACGCTCTGGAGTGAAAGAAGGTCAGTTTAAAGGGAAAAAAGATGGCTTTAAAATTAATAACCGATTGTTTCACTCATAGACTGAGATAGAAAAGAAGATTGGCATTTGCAGAGCATGATGGCATTATGATGACATATGAGTCAAGATGGGGCCTTAATATAGTTGCGTATTATGATCTTCAGAAAATCAAGTCAAGGTGAAGTATAAATAGAAAAATACAATAAACAAGCCAGTTTGGTCTAGTGATTAAGGCAACTGAGCTAGAAACTAGGAGACTATGAGTTGTAGCTCCTCCTTAGGCATGAAAGCTGGGTGAGTAACTTTGGGCAAGTCATTCTGTCTCATCCCAACCTACCTCACAAGGTGGTGGTTGTGAGGAAAATAGGAAGGAGGAATATTAGGTATGTTTGCCATCTTTTGTTCTTAAAAAATAATATAGGTGGGATATAAATAAATAAAAATAAAATAAATAGGCATTTTAAAAAGCAATATTACAGTGGTAGCAGATCTTGAAGGATTCCCCCTAACTGAGCAATTGGACCTGGTTAGAATTTGAATGGGGGGCTACTAGAAAATACCAGGTGTGTTAGCTGGACTGGGCAATCAAGAAAGTTACTGGGGAAAAAGCTGTGGTGAATAGATTGGCTTTTGCTGCAAAGGAAATGACATAAATACAGGTAGTTCTTGATAAAGTACGGTAATTGGCTTGGGTTTTGTTGTTGTTGTTGCCAAGGGATGTGATTGGAAAATGTGATGTTGCAATCCTGGTTGCCCCCATTGCTGTCATTAACCAACATGCCTGCCAGCTTTCAAAAAGCAAAGTCAGTGTGGCAGTTGGAAAGGATTTGCAAGTTCCTGGTGATTCTGCATTTAGGACCAACCACGAGGCTTGTTTGATTCTGTTATCACTGCTATGGGGTGGAGTGAGGTTAAAGTGCGAATTTTTAACTGTATTTTTAATGTATGCTGCCTGGAATCACTTGTGAGTGGCGCGGCTATGTAAATTTGATTAATGAATACATACCACCTATTCAGTGCTGTGATAACTTTGAACAGTCTCCAACAAAGGCTCCAAGAGCCTTGGTAGTACAGTGTTCTAAGGCACCCCGTTATTAAGCTGGTTATTAAGACCAGCTGCCTGCAATTACTGCAGGTTCGAATCTCTCCAAGGCTCAAGGTTGACTCAGCCTTCCATCCTTTCTAAGGTAGGTAAATTGAGGATCCAGTTGTGGGGGCAATAAGCTGACTTTGTATAAATATACAAAAGTATGAAGGCTATTGCTTAACGCATTGTAAGCCGCCTGAGTCTCTGGAGAAGGGCGGCATATAAATCAAATTAAAAAAAAACAACAAAAAAACCAAAAACAAATGGTCATTAACCAAGGACTACTTGTATATCCTCAAGTTCAATTCAAAGGAGATTTTCTTTTTAAAGTCATTTTAAGGGGGGGAAAAAGTCCCGTTGATCTTTGGATCATGCTAACCAAGTGGCATTTTAAAGAGCATTCTCAAGCAGCTCAGATACAAATGTTAATAGTTTGTTCTTTTTCTATTTACTGTATTTTTTGGAATATAAGACGTACCTTTTTCTCCAAAAAAAGAGGGTGAAAATCTGTGTGCGTCTTATACTCCAAATGTAGTCCCACCCAGTTTCTCAAACGAAGATTTCAGAGGCTGAAAAAAGCATCAGAAAAGAAGCTTCAGAAAAGAAGCCCCCAAACAGAGCTTCAGAGGCTTTTTTTCTGAAGCTCTATTTCGGAGGCTTTCAGAGGCAGGAAAAAAAGTTTTGTCTGAAACAGAGTTTCAGATGTTTCAGAGGCAGAAAAAAAAAGCAAGGCACAGAGCTCATAACCAAGGAATCTGTTGCTAAAATTCACTTCTGGGAACAGCCTCCCGGGGATATTCCGGGAGGCCGATCCACCTGCCAATCAGCTTTTTTCTTATTTTCCTCACCAAAAACTAAGGTGCGTCTTATACTCGAAAAATACGGTATTTACAAATCTTCTGATTTCACTGGGATTTATATGTAGGATGAAACTCTCCTTCTGTATGGTAACTCTGTCTAGATTCTGGCTTTAAAGCAACATATTTGGGTGCATTTGGAAAGGAAGCAAGTAGACAAAACCGTCTCTATCCATCTGGTACAAAACTAGCCTGGTTAGGAAAGATGTTTACGGATATGTCCACAAAATGTTGGAAATGTCATCAGACACCTTGTTCATACTATCATACCTGGTGGACATGCCCAAAAGCAAAAAACAATTCTGGACAAAAATACATATACTATTGGAAAAAAGGGCAAAACAACATATTGAGTTGAAACCAGAAATATTCTTGTTGGGCATTTTACCGGACAAGTACAATAAAGGGAATGTATATCTGATTTTATGTCTACTGACTGTAGCTAGAATTGTATTTGCCCAAATAATGGAAAAGTGAAGAGATCCCAACAGATGAAAACGTGATTAAAAAAATATTAGAATGTGCAGAAATGGATAGACTAACACTTACAATTAAGGGAAAAAAAGAAACTGAATACTTTTTGACCTGGGACTTATTTTATCAATGGTTAGCTGACAAAAACAGGAGTTAGAAACAGGGAAATATAAGGAAAGGATCAATGATAGAATAGAATTCTTTATTAGCCAAGTATGATTGGACACACAAGGAATTTGTCATGGTGCATACACTCTCAGTGTACATAAAACAAAAGATACATTTGTCAAGAATCATAAGGTACAACACTTAATGATAGTCATAGGGAACAAATAAGTTATCAAATCATATTAGGAAACACTCAATATAAATCGTAAGGATACCAGCAATATAAGGGAGGTATGTTAAAATGGTTAAGTTGTTGTTATTATCTTTATTCATTAAATATGAAACTCAGTCAACTGAACATTCAAAAATACATCACAAATACCATTGACTGGTGCTAATGGTCCCACAAGATCTTCACGATCTCATTTTCTATAACTTTTTCTGCTTTATGTTCCCATGACTAATTATTATTTTATTATTATTATTATTATTATTATTATTATTATTATTATTATTATTACTACTACTACTACTACTACTACTACTACTAATGTAATGAACACTGTTGTAAATATTTTGATTACTATTTCCTAAAACTATTTGTACCCAGACAACACACTGTTTAATTGAAAATGGAATTTTTATATGTTATCAAATAAAAAACTTGAGAGAGAAAAAAAGGAAAAGGAGATGCTAAAAATGTTTTATGAGACATGTACCACAGTGGTGAAATGTAAAATTTGTTACTATCGGTTCTGTGGGCGTGGCTTGGTAATGTGATTGGGTAGGCGTGGCCAACTTTTTTTTTTTAACTTTTAAAAGCATTTTTTCTACAACCTTAAGAGGTTGCAGAAAAAAATGATTTTAGAAGCCTCTGACGATCTCAGCTGAGCCACGCGATCATCAGAGGCTTTTTTTTTTTTTAACTTTTAAAAGCATTTTTTTGGCCGAAGAGGTTGTAGAAAAAATGCTTTTAAAAGAGAAAAAAAAAAGCCTCTGATGATCGCGCGGCTCAGCTGGGCATGGGGGGGCAGGGATTTTTGCTACCGGTTCTCCGAACCACCCGCCGTCATCACTACTGGATCGGGCGATCCGGTCCGAACCTGGAGCATTTCACCCCTGATGTATCATGTGTGGATGCTGGTTAATGCAGTTGAGAATCATTTTTCCATTAGCAATACCATGTCATGTATGCCTTCACAACAAGGATTTTTTTGTCCCTTTGATTTATTTCTCTCTGCATGATAAGGAGCGACAAACCACTTTTATCCAGGAAGGAATGGGCGTTTGACTTAACAATGGCTGCCTCTCCCTCTCCATTTTACAGCATTGGTGAGGCCACAGATGTTCCACGATCCGAGAGGAAAACATGATGCAGAAAATGGCTGCCCCCCATGTTTCTTTCGGTATCTAGAGGCCGAGGGTTGTGTGGTTGTTCCAGCTACACTTGAGATATGAATATTCTTCCAGCTGCCTCGATTATAAAAATCAATGATATTTTAGCAAGGCTAATGAGTGAAAAGCAGGATAGGGTGTGTTGGTCAGAAAAGTCAAGATGGCAGTCACAATGCTATGACTGAATCTCTTGACCATATTGACGTGCATCAGGTTTGACAGGAGGAGCTTTGTACCAATAGGCACTACCTTGACTGTTCTTACTCTACTTTGCAGACGCAAAGAATGAAAGCTCCTGTCTCCTCCTTTTGTTAACCCTTTCCATATCTGTATTTTCTATAGATAGTAAAGTGACATTCTGGTTGTGCTATTTCCAAAAAAGGGAACTACAGGTAGTTCCTCACTTATGATTGTAACTGAGCCTGGAATTATAGTGATAAGTCATTGTGATTGCTAAGCGGGTCACCATCCGATTTTATGACATTTTTGCAATGGTTGTTAAGTGAATGTAGCAGTTGTTAAGTGAATCCATTATACCCATGGGTGCTTTCTGGCAAAAACTGGAAGTAAATGGATAAAAAAAATCGATAAAAGTCAAAAATAGAAATCATGTCACTTGGATGCTGCAAAAGGCCATAAAAGTGAGTAGTTGCCAAGTGCCCAAAATATGAACATGCGATTGCAGGTGTGTGTGTGTGCGCACGCATACACGCGCACAGCCATCATAACTTTGGAATCGGATCCTTTTAGGGGGTCTGTCATAAATCGAGGACTACCTGTATGTGACTGCTCTTCTTTCCTATCATGTCTGCTTTGTCTTTAGATTCCTTTTGAGGATTAGAATATTGTTGTGTCCTCTTCTTTTCGTGCTGGAGGAGCTCTTTCCTGGCTCTTTGCACTTTTATTTAAACCATTTATTTTTGTTCTCGAATATCTTTCCTTGACAGAATTGGGATTGGGTCTGATGAAGTTCACTTCCTTCCCATGTCTTCTTTCCTAGACTGTTATCTTGCCTTTCTTTAAGGAGAATATATACATCACGCTCTTCCTGTTATCCCCCAAACAATAACCCTGTGAGGTAGGCTGGTCTGAGAAAATCTGTCCCCAAATAATTTCAGTGGGTGAGAGTAGACTAGGACCTGTGTGTCCTGAGGCCCAGTCTGATATCTCTTTAACAACCACACTACACAACTCTGGCAATTTCCCCATAATTGAACATTAATGAATTGATTTACATTGATTTATTACATTTAATTTTAATCAATTAATTTGTTTTGTAAATTTGACAAGGGTGCTACCTGTGAATTTTGAATCGGACTGTTGGAATCTCTTCTTTTCAGAAAAAAAAAGCATTCAGTCATCTGAGGAAAGTTGTAGAACACAGGTGGAGAACGATTCATGATTTGTGGACTTCAATTGCAGAATTCCTGAGCCAGTCATTGTTCCCCATCCCTATCGTAGAAGATTGCAGGGTAGGGAAGACCTTTACAGGTTTTATTGTTTTATTTTATATTATTTCTATCCTACTTTTGTTATTTTTCATAAAGGCATGGCAACAAACATACAATATTCTTTCCTCCTCCTCCTTTCCCCCACAAAAACAACCGTGTGAGGTGAGTTGGGCTGAGAAAGAGAGAGATTGCCCAAGGTCACCCAGCTGCTTTCATTGCCTAAAGTGGGATTAAGAACTCACAATCTCCCAGTTTCTAGCCTGCTGCCTTAACTACTAGACCAGTGATGGCGAACCTTTTCGGCTCCGTGTGCCAAAAAGGTCACGTAGAAATATTGCGCGCACCTGTGTGCGCTCGTTGGGGCCACGCTCCAGAAAAGCCAAACTTCTGCGTTCTAGCGTACATGCGCGCCCAACAATCAGCTGGCCGGTGCACATGCGCAGGCTGGTTTTTGGCACTGCCGTACGCGTGAAGGGATTGTGTTCCGGAAAAGCCGAACTTCAGAGTTTTGGCACTCATGCGCACCCGACAATCAGCTGGCCAGCGCTCATGCACACACCGGTTTTCAGCACTGCCGCGCATGCAAAGGACAGACGATAGTCATGCGCATGCACCCCAGAAACCCAGAAGACAAATAGGCAAGGCCACGTGTGCTGGGCGACATGGCTTCGCGTGCCACTTTGGGCACACATGTCATAGGTTTACCATCGCAGTACTAGACGAAGACTGGCTCTCCTTTTCCCATTTAAATTATTCAGTAGTTTTGTAACTGAAAATCCATAAAATACCTGTGTTCTGTCCCCCACCCACACGCACGCACACCAACAGACGTTCAAGAGTTAAAGACCAAACCAGCCGGCAAAATCCTTTTCCTTATGATAACGGAACTTGGCAACAACCTAGTGGCTGCCTGCCAAGAGTTTATTATTCACGAAGAGGAGAGATAACTTCTCCCCACTTCTGATACATCAAAAGAAACAGCTCAATAATTACGGAGTCAATTAAGTCCAGAGATAATCCAGCAAAGTCTATAGCCAAAAGTCCGGCAATGCAGAATGGCGTGGAAGCTTTCAGTTTTGTTCGTCACAAGGTTTGACTGGCCACCACGTTCCCTTTTATATCCTGTGGGGTGTGGTCCAGTGACTCAGCCTAATCTCGGGCATGCCTTTTCTTCTGTTGCACGCGCTTATCTCTGCGACGCTGGCGTGGATTCAGCCAAGACTCATTACCCTCATCACTGTCCATCTGTGGCTGCGTGGACGTGCTTGGCCCCGGCCCTATCTCTTGCCCTTTGGCGGACACCGAAGGCATTGCCAGAGAGGAGGGTCCTGGAGAGGGAGGCCTTGCCAACTCCTCTCCTTCACTCTGGAGTCCTCTCCTGCCGATGACACAGGCTCAGATAACGGAGCCACAACAACCTGGTACTGGGTGCTACTAAGTGGAGTCAGGCTTTGCTAAGCCCTCATTTGCTTTATTGAAGAAGTCGAGCGTTGCAGGTACTGTACTGTAATTAGCTTATATGTTTTGTAAACAGCAAAACTTCATGGGTCAGAAATCTGGGCATCCCAAGGAAAAAAGATCTCCCAAGCTGTATGGTTATCAGATTTTAGTACCAGAAGAACAAGAAGAAAGCAACGAGAAAGAAAGCAACGAGAAAGAAAGCAACGAGAAAGGAAACAACAAGGATTTGGAAAAGATTAGCAAGCAGTTTGATGAAATCCTTGGAATGGCCGACTCAAGAAATGGTAACTTTGGTTGTTTTTGATTTGTGCTTTCTTTATTTATCTTGACTTCTATTTGTGTGCGCTGCCGCTGCTGTCAAAAAGTACCCTTGGCAGGTTGCATAGCAAAATGCAATATAAAACAAAGCTCCATAGCAAAAGAAAAACAACACGACTACTAGAAAAGGGAGAAAATAAAGGATGGCAAGGAGATTTAAATCAGAGAAAGACTTTGGGAGAAACCTGCTCTTCAGGAGCTTGTAAAAAAGCCGTGAAGAGACATCCAGCTTGATAGACTCCCTACTAGGTCCAATTGGTTGGGGTGCAGCAGGCTGCAAATAGCAATCCAAAATGTATCTGGATGCCAAACCATGAGGGGCATTGTAGGTCAACCCAGCACCTTTAATAGGACTTGGAATCCAACCGGCAAACAATTCAGGGTCCACAAAGCTGGTGTAACCTGCTTCCAGTGTCGGAGTCTGTAAGAGTGCAGCTGCTGTAACCAGTTGCAATGTTGGAATAGTCTTTAAGGACAGACCCAAGTAGAGCGTATTACAGTAGTCTGGATGCAGGGAATGGGGGCATAAGTTATCATGGACAATTTCTATTGCCTGTCATCCTTTTCCTCTATGGTTGCCTATTAACTACTGCAACTCCTTAGGTAAGGAAGCCCATACATAATTTTTCACTCAATCCTTCGTAAACAAAACCAAACCTCTTATTACAATAGAGTTTTAGCAGGATACCACATTTTATAGCATTATAATTTTGTAAGCTGCAACTCCTACCCTGGGGACAGAGAGTCTTGAGTTTGTATTTCTCTTTCTGGCACTTGGAGAAAGTTGCATCCCCAGGGTTGAAAGACCAGCGGCATAAGACTTGAAAATAGTATGGGTTGTGGAAGGGTTTACATTTACCATAACACTAATGGAAAGAATTTGAAATTCAGTGCTCCTTTCTCCAAATGGGAAAATCCTGCATATTTTCCCCCTTCCAGTTATAAGCCTCCTATTGCTGTAGATTTCCTGATCTCCAAATTTGGAGCTCTCTGAAAAAAACAGGTAGCATTAGATATCTGCAATATCTTGTTCCTTTTTGTCCAAGCCACACATTCTACTTTTGGGTCTTACTTTCAGGTGCTGTTGGCTTATACAACATTGGATTGAACTGCTGCGTCAACTCATTGCTTCAAAGCTTCTTAATGAACAGATACTTCACTTCGTTACTCCGGAGGTGCGTCATGCTCAGAGAATATAATGTGTGCAGACAGTCAAGAATTGGAAATACCTATTCTTTCTTATCTCTTCTCTTAATAATTTTTTTCCAGTGGGTAAACTTTTAGGCAAGCCACCTCCCCCAAGCCAGCCTCCCCATTTGCAGAATGGAAAAATGAACATTTCTTTCCAGGATTGTTGCAAAACCATAGAATAATTTGAACATTTCCTATTTCACTTATGCAGAGGTGGGATTCACTTACCTTCCCTACCGGTTTGCAAATGTGAGTGCACGTGCCTCCTCTGCGCATGCACACGGCTTTCTGTGCATGCTCTTTACTCGCGCATTATGTCCGGGTGGATGGGCGGAGCCTCCCGCAGTCGCCACTACCTGTTCGACAGAACCCGCTGAATCCCACCACTGCACTTATGGTTTATGTTATGATTAATTGAAACTCTCAAGGGGGTGTGGCTCCTTCAAATCAGGTGTGCAACTGCAACACATTATTATTTTATAAAATACATATTATTTACACAAATAATAATTTATATTTATAAAAAATTGTAAAGTTTTAAATTTCTATATTTAAGTTTTAAACCCTTGGCCTTCCCTCTCTTCTTTATGGTATTGGCAAAACTGCAATATCTGTACAGTGCAAGAAATGTTTTAGGTTTTTATTCTTTTTAAGGACCTGGCCTTCAAGTATGAGCTCAGTTTTCCCTGACTGTGATGGACAATCATAGTTTGATTCTTTTCACTGCAGGATCAGTGTACCATTTGGAACAGCAGAACGGAAGGCCAATGTCCCTTATCAAATGCTTCTGCTGTTGGAGAGTATGCAGCGGGCCAAGGGGAAGTCCGTGCACCCTTTTGACCTTATCTACTGCCTTTCTCGTCATGGTGTGAGATGTAAGGAAGATCTGGAGCCTCTTGGATACCATTTGGATGGCATAACCTTTAGGGATTGGAAAGCAAATAGCGTTGGCTGGGAAAGGCAAAATTCTGTAAATGGGTTTATTGGGCTTATTGGGAATCCAGAATGGGTTCAAAATATCTAAGGATTTGGAAGAATATAGTCATGGAAGTAGATGAGAGTATTAGAATTTGGAAAACTTAATGTAGAATCCTGTATGCTAAATTGTGGTTTATTATCTCTTTTCTTCTAGTGTTTGTTCTCCACGATGCTTCAGAAATCTATTACAAAATCTGGAACCTACTTAAAAGCCAAATCACAAACACAGACCTGGTAAAATCCTACTTTTATAAAGCAGAAAAAAAAATACTTCTATTACTGTGGTTTTATATATAGGCATGATGAATTAATTGATTGTCATCCCCTTTAAGTAAAGCCTAGTTGCTTAGACTCCACACTTTGACTTTTGTCAACCTGATGCCAGTAAAACTGTATTGCCTCTTAAAAGCCCACTGAAATGCATTGTTCTCTGCATAGTATATGTAGATGGCATTATGGAAAGCAATCATTGTTAGAGCAAGCCGTTCACTTGATGTCAGAGCAATGGTAGCTCCAAACTACTTTGAAACTTCTCCAATATTGCACGGATAATATCTGAATCAAGCCTCAATGGATACTAATCAAAACTAAAGCAACAAAGGAGAGTTTACATTTTATTATTACTTTAACATTCAGATTATGTTCCCTTTGAGTGAATCTATATATATAAAAGCGAAAACCACTCACGCATTAATCATGAAATCTCCAGAACCGTAAAGCCTACAAACTTGAAATTTGCCACTTATGTTCCTCTTGGCTTCTAGGTGCTCATAAGAAAGGATTTTTCGAAATGACCACCAGAGCATTAGTATTTCCTATATTATAACATGCTTCGATGCTAATTAGTTAGACCTTCTACTCCCCCTCCCAACTTGAAAATAACTGGAGAGAATGGGATAGCATAGGACAGGCTTCTGTGGGGCAAACCTCATGGAAAGAAGGGGCTAGAAAGCCTGAGGAAGAGAAGGGGATAGGATAGGAGATGCTTCTGTGGGGCCAGCCTGAGAAAGAGAAGGGGAGAGGCTTTTGTGGGGCCAGCCTGAGGAAGAGAAGGGGAGTGGAGAGGATCTGTGGGGCCAGCCTGAGGGAGAGAAGGGTAGGATAAGAGAGGCTTCTGTGGGGCCATCCTGAGGGAGAGGAGAGGAGAGGCTTTTGTGGGGCCAGCCTGAAGGAGAGAAGGGGAGAGGAAAGGATCTATGGGGCAAACCTGAGGGAGAGAAGGGGAGAGGAGAGTCCAATCATAACTACTCATTAATTTTCAAACTCTTACCGTATTTTTCGGAGTATAAGACGCACCTTAATTTTGGGGGAGGAAAACAAGAAAACAAGAATTCCACCTCTGCCTACCAGCATTTAAAGTGGCACTGCTTTACGCCGCCCTCCTCTTCCTACAAGTCGGCTGGGAAAGAGGGCGTTGATTACTGATAAGTTCTTTTCCAGGAAAACTTATCAGGGTGCTCCTGCGATCTGCAGGGACTACTCGCTTTCCCCCAAAGAGACCCCTCGCATGCTCTGGGGGAAGGGAAAGAGCACAGCCTGAGGAACAAACCTCTTTGGGATGGTCTGGGGGGGGGAATCTGCCCGGCAGCTTTGGGAAAAACAAGGCGAGCGCCACGATTTGCAGCTGGTCACCACTCTGGCCGCCCAGCAGGCAGCTCAGGGCAGACAATGGTCGCAATGACTTCACTCCCCAGCAATTTGAGGAGCTGCTGCTGCTGCTGCCTAAGCCCTCTCCGCGCCCAGGAGCCGAGCGAGCCGAACGGGAGCTCCTAAAGTGAAACGTCCCTCCTTTCCAGCCGCTGCCTGGATTCCCCTATACAATTCTCAGAGCTGCGTTTCAGGCGGCAGGCAGCCAGTTCCCCTGCAATGTGCAGCGGGGAACTGGGAACCATTTTGGATTCGGGGAGGGGATTGCAGCGCTGCCGCATGAAAGTGCTTTTCTTCTTATTGCAGAGCCGCGTGCCCCCATCCTCCTCCTCAGCAGACTCACCTTCTCTTTACTCCTGGCCAGATCTGCCGCCTGAAACGCGATGCACTTTTTTAACCTCTGCACACCCCATGTTTGGAATCAGGAAGGGGATCGCGGGTCTGCCACCCGAAAACGCTTTCCTTGGGAATCCTGATGCTTCTCACATTGCTGGGGAGTGAAGTCATTGCGACCATTGTCTGCCCTAAGCTGCCTGCTGGGCAGCCAGAGGGGTGACCTGCCACAAACCGTGGGGCCCGCCTTGTTCCCTGAAGCTGCCGGGCAGATTCCCTTCCCCCCCCCCAGACCGTCCCGGAGAGGGTTGTTCCTCAGGCTGTGCCCTGATCCAGATCCCCGCCGCCTGGAACTGCCCGAAAATGTCTGAAACGTGGGGGCCAGCGGGTGGGCGGGGTTACATTCGGCGTATAAGACGCACCCAGATTTTCACCCCCTTTTTGGGGGTAAAAAGGTGTGTCTTATACTCCGAAAAATACGGTGTCGATTTATCAAGCCCCATCACATAGTTTCGTAGCGGAGCATGGGTATTCATCTAGTTATTAATAAATTATGCTAGTAAGTCCTCACAACCACAAATTCTATTCTGTGACATTCCCAGCTAGCTTCCCTGCCAGATTCACTTATCCTGGCAAAAAAGGTTGTGAAATTGGGCACAACAACCGCCTTGCTTAGCAACAGACATTCTGGTCCCAATTGTGATCCTAAGGCAAGCACTACTTGTATAGCCTGTTCTAAGCAATTGCCCTGTAGATGGACCTAAACTAGGGGTGGGATTCTACCGGTTCAGACCGGTTCGGGTGAACCGGTAGCTCCGATGATCAGCTGGGAGCGAACCAATTCACTCTGACGATCAGCTGGGCCGGCCCCCGCGCTTCACATACCTATATCTTTGCAGCTAATTAGCGCGGCAGAGCGGATTGCTGCGCCTCAGCTGTTTTAATTCCCTAGCAGTACCACGGAAGGTGATTTTTTGTTGAACTGCTCACACGCGATTACCGAACTGGTTGCTTAACTGGAAGGATCTCACTACTCACCTAAACCTGCATACATAGCAGAAGAGATTCTTGGATTTGCAGTTTCAGCATGCGTTGGTATCAAATTAGGAAAGACTGGCCCAAAATCACGTTTCTGTGGAAGCAATGAAATAACAACTAACAACAACAACAGTAATAAATATTGTTTCCTTTTGGTTCTTTCCATCGTTGAAGGTTGAAAGATTGACTGATCTGTATACCATCCGTTTGCAAGAGTTCCTGATGTGCCAGAAATGTTCCCATGAAATAAAGATAAACAATAACCAGCTAATGCTACATCTTCCAATGTTTGATTTTGATTCTCATCAGATTGTTGACTTGGTAAGTTCATTTGGGCGTTTTTAAAGGAGTGGTTCGAATCCCTAGCGCTGCGTAACGGGGTGAGCTCCCATTACTTGTCCCAGCTTCTGCCAACCTAGCAGTTTGAAAGCATGTAAAAAATGCAAGTAGAAAATTAGGGACCACCTTTGGTGGGAAGGTAACAGCGTTCCGTGCGCCTTTGGCGTTTAGTCATGCCGGCCACATGACCACAGAGACGTCTTCGGACAGCGCTGGCTCTTCGGCTTTGAAACAGAGATGAGCACCGCCCCTTAGAGTTAGGAACGACTAGCACATATGTGTGAGGGGAACCTTTACCTTTACCTAAAGGAGAGGAAAGTGCAACCATGACCCACTATGATCGGAGAGGGCTGCATTCATGTAAATTCTAGAGAATGATCATTTTGTGATTATTTATTTGTTTGCTTGCTTAGCCTTACAGACCATGATTTTAATTATAAGTTACCCAGAGTCACTTTGCAGAGTGAGATAGGTGGCATATAAAAGCAATAAATAAATAAATTAACATGAAATGTTAAATGTTGATACGGTTGGTTGATTTATTTATTAAATTTATATGCCATCCATCTCACTGTCCAAAGTGACTGGGCAGGTTACAATACAATAAAAAGCATAAAAACAGAAACATTAAAATTAACAGAAATTAGGTAAATCTAAGAAGTAGGTACACAAGTGGTACGGAGGTGGGATCTTTTTCTATAATTCCACCAACCACTTCCAGTGGCAAGCAAGTTTTGAGGCCCTTCCAGAAGACCAAGAGGATGGAGGTGGATCTCACCTCTGGCATCAAGATATTCCAACGGGCAGGGGCCACAGCAGAAAAGACCCTTCTCTTAGACCACATCTGCCAAAATTTCTTGACTGATGAGGCCTGCAGCCTGCTCCTTGATTACCTTAAGTAGCTGGTAAAAGTGCATTTTCAGAGGTATTACTTTTAACATTGCCGCTGGTAGTTGGAATAATGCCCAATACATTTGGAAAATTGCAGGTTGGGAAACAGTAGCCTTATGGCCTCAATTTAAGTAGAAAGAATTAAATATGGAATATATTGAGGGAACTGATCTCTGTTCTTGCATTCTACAATCTCTTCTCTTTTCATAGGAAAATTCACTCCACTGCTTTTTCAGACCAGAGCAATTAACTAGAGAAAATATATGTCACTGTGAGAAGTGTAACAAGAAAACACCATGTCTGAGGGTAATGCTGTTTTGGGTGGCGGGGAAGGAGAGATTATTGTTTTGGGAATTTCATGGTCTTTATATTTTGGGATTAAATTATTTGTTTGCTTAAGATAATGGGTATTGTATCTCTTTATGGCTAGAAAAAATCCACTAGGCAGTTCCAAGGCTTTTGTCAAACACACCTTTTGTCCAACACTCCAGTATGTCTTGCTTAATGTTAGAGTCAGATTTAAGGCAATCCTGGTTGGTAATTTTTGAAATTGAAATTTAATTGTATTGTAATTATATACAATTAAATTGTATTTAATTGTGGAGAAGTCCCATCTTTGTACAGTAGTTTCTTTATGTTGGCTGTAGTTCTTGTTGTGACCTAGGCCCAAGTAGGTATTATCAGATGCAATTAGTTCTAAACAAACAGATTTTATTGGAACAGCTGAGAATTAACTCATTCTCAGCGTAGTCCAAACTAATTCAAAACAAATTCTTCATAACACAATTCTTCAGCCTTATCACCAACCTTGGTCTACTTAGGCAACCTGCCAAAGACTTTTCTTGGCAAAAGTTCAGAAGCAGAAGACGCCGACAAGAAATAAATGCAGCAAGACAAGAAACAAATTGCTTTCCTACAAAGAGGCCAAGAGCCGTTGCTGGTCTTTTAAGCCTTATGGGAGGGGCCAATCATCTCTTGGCCTTACTCCTGAGTCATCCTTTTTGCTTTAGCTGCTCTTGCCTTCTGGCAGCTCTTGTCATATGTGCACTAGGAACAGGCTCCTCCTGTTCCTCTGCCTCTCTACTATCAGCCTCTGGAGGCTCCAGAGTCCATACATCACTTCCCGATGGCCCTGGCCCCATCTCTGGCTCTGACGCAGAGCCCTCATCCGGGCCTTCCCTAGCCTCCAGGACTGGCCCATGTTCTTCCTCAGCCTCATCGCCGTCCGACTCCGCTGCCAGCTCTGCAGGCTGCTGGCGGACCACAACAGTTCTGTTATGTTTTTTGCTGGTCCTTGAATCCCAGTTATGATCCTTAAAGCCCTCTTCAGACATAGTTGGCCAAAATTGGTGTGTTTCCAACCAGGAAGAAGATACAGCCTTTTCCCCATGGATTTCCAGTGTCTATCAAGACTGCCAATTCAGACAGAATATTTTTTGTTGATTTTTGGGTGGTTTAGGTGTGGAGAATTGTGGTGGGTGGGAATGTGTTTGGGGATTGTTATGTGTGTTGGGCCTGGTCTTTGGGTGTTAAGAGAATTTTGTTGTATGGGTATACTGTGTATACACGTACAATGACAATAAAGTTATTATTATTTTGCAGAGGGTGAAAATAATGAATTTGCCACAGATGTTGACGCTACATCTCGTTCGCTTCCGTTCTAAAGATGGCAACAGAACTAAGAAAGTCACACATAGTTTGGCTTTCCCACCAGAGCTAAATTTTAGCCAGATCTTGACATCAGAACAGTATCAACCAGATGCTAAAAAGAAGGTAGGATATTTGCATGCATTCCCTCTGGCATTAAGGCTAGTAGTGCTGCAGTAGTTCTGCAATTTGGCCATTCGAATCTCACCAGGCTCAAGGTTAACTCAGCCTTCCATTCCTTACGAAGTTGGTAAAATGAGGACCCAGATTGCTGGGGGCAGTATTCTGACTCCATAAACCAGTGGTGAAATCTAAAATTTGTTACTACCGGTTCTGTGGGCGTGGCTTGATGGTGGTGGGGTAATGTGACGGTGGGCGTGGCCAACTTTTTTTTTTTTTAACTTTTAAAACCATTTTTTCTACAACCTCTTCAGCGAAGAGGTTGTAAAAAAATGTTTTCAAAAGGCTCTGACGATCCCAGCTGAGTTGCCTGATCAGCAGAGGCTTTTTTCTTTTAAATGCCTCTGACGATCAGGCAACTCAGCTTGGATCGTCAGAAGCATTTAAAAGGAAAAAAAAAACCCCTTTTTTCTTTTAAATGCCTGACGATCCAAGCTGAGTTGCCTTTGTTAGAGGCATTTAAAAGAAAAAATTCTCTGCTCATCAGGCAACTCAGCTTGGATCGTCAGAGGCATTTCTTTTAAAAGCCTCTGATGATCCTAGCTGAGCCACGCGATCATCAGAGGCTTTTTTTTTTTTTTTTACTTTTAAAAGCATTTTTTCGGCCAAAGAGGTTGTAGAAAAAATGTTTTTAAAAGTAAAAAAAATCCTCTGATGATTGTGCGGCTCAGCTGGGCATGGGTGGGGGCAGGGATTTTTGCTATCGGTTCTCCGAATCATCCGCCTCCACTGCTACCAGATTGGGCAATCCGGTCTGAACCGGGAGCATTTCACCCCTGCTGTAAACCTCTTAGGCTGTAAAAAGCACTGTGAAGCCGTATATAAGTCTAAGTGCTATTGATAGTGTAATTTAGGGTGAGCAATTGCGCTCTGAGGGGTAAAGCCAGGGTGAAATGCTCCCGGATCAGACCAGATCACCCGATCCGGTAGCGATTTTTCCCTATGGTTCGGCAATCCGGTAGCAATCGTCGCCCGGGTGTCATTACTTCCTGGTTTTAACCAGGAAGTAATATTTTTTACCTTCTGCGCATGCACAGAAGGTGTGCGTGCACGGTGCGCGTGTGCTTCCGAACCGATAAGGAAGGTAAGTAGATTTCACCCCTGGGTAAAGCCAATCTTTGAACCGCAGTCATAGTCTTTAAAACTCTGTCCAGGCATAGTTGCCCAAATTTGGTGTTTTAGGCTTGGAGGAAGACACAGCCTTTTCTCCATGAATTTTCCAGTGTCTATCAAGGGTGTCCATTCAGATATAGCTTTCTGATATTCCCTAATACATGGGTCCCCAACCCCTGGCCCATGGACCAGCACCTGTCCATGGCATGGGGAATGACTGTTTTCCATTTTTACTTAAATCTTTCTTATTTATTTCCAAATCCTGTATTACTGGTTGTTCTTGTATTATTTTTATTCCCTGTGGAAATTTTATATTAAGTACACAAGTTGCGTACTTGAGTCTTGAAGATTCAGCAGCATACAAATTAGATAGACGGATTATAGATAAAAACATTACTTCTTTTTTTTAAAAAAATCTAATAGTTTTGTAGAATATAAAGGGTAAGTGAAGGTACATTTTTTAGGTGAAATGGAGAGGCTGATTGTGAAGAAATTCATGGTTGACGTCTGCATCTAGTCAGCAAATTAGAAATTATTGAGAGACTAAACCCACTTCCTTAAGGCCTTAGTAGAATTATAAAGTTAGTTTGATTTTCACCTTTCGCCTTTGTATAAATAGTTATACGAGTCTGGCTTCTCGGAGACAAAAAATATAAATCAAATTTAAAAAAAAAAACTAGTTTTCATTTATTCAGGATGCTTAATATGAAGTAAGTTTACAAAATGCTTTAGGGGTCCTTATTATACCAGTTCTTTCCCCTTGGAGAAGGAAACGGTATCTAAGAAGCCAGCCCAAGACCGAAGGAGAGGGGCCATGCCAGCCCCATCTTCAAATGGCTAATAGACAGGAGTGAAATTCAAAATTTTTCCCTACTGGTTCTGTGAGCGTGGCTTGGTGGGCGTGGCAGGGGAAGGATACTGCAAAACGTCTGTTCCCACCCCACTCTGGGGCCAGCCAGAGTATTTGGTATTTGTCGGTTCTCCAAACTACTCAAAATTTCCGCTACCGGTTCTCCAGAACCTGCTGGATTTCACCCCTGCTAATAGACATCAGTCTGGGATAATCCTGTGTGAATCCTCTTGACTGTGCCAGTAATAGAAGAGTTGACAAAATGCATTAGATGTTATTTATCATGAAACTGCCATGATTTACTTTACAGTCTGAAAAGATCAGGATGAGGTGAAGGAAGCATCACAGAGATAAAAGAGAGGAAATATTTGTAGCATAGTTAGATGCAGGTAGAGGAAGCACCTCATTTCCCTCCCAAGTTGCTCTGCCAAGAAGCTACCTGAAAACTCCCAATCATCTGACCTACTTCCTGCATCAAGAGCCTTTCCTTCTCTCTCCCCTAAAATAAACAATTGTTTTATTGGTAAAATACCCTAATTGCTCTATGGAAAGCAAGCCTGCAAAAATGGTACTTGTTAGGGGAAAGAGTCGAAACAAAGGAGCTCATGTTGCATGAGCCACGGTGGCGCAGTGGTTAGAGTGCAGTACTGTAGGCTACTTCTGCTGCCTGCTGGCTGCCTGCAATTTGGCAGTTCAAATCTCACCAGGCTCAAGGTTGACTCAGCCTTCCATCCTTCTGAGGTGGGTAAAATGAGGACCCAGATTGTTGGGGGCAATATGCTGACTCTGTCAACCGCTTAGTGAGGACTGTAAAGCGGTATATAAGTCTAAGTGCTACTGCTATTGCCATGTTGTGGACCGTTGTCCTTTGACAGTAGGAGGTCCAGGAGTAATGCGACAATAATAGTCATTCCCTGTTAAATGAAGAAAGTGTTGCATCTGCTTTGTCCTTCAAAGTATTGCTCTGTACTTCTTTCCAGAGTGATGGGTTGTATGATCTCTTCGCGGTGATTGCCCACTCGGGACCAGCTGACTTTGGTCATTATTGTGCCTATATCTGGAGTCTCACCGAATCCAAGTGGTATTGCTTCAACGATTCCAGTGTTTGTGAGGTGAGAAAGCCAGACGGTCCTGGAGATGGTGTTAGAGAATCATGATCACTTCTAATGTTGCTAGATGCATTTTGAGGGGTGGGGGGAAGAGAGGGAGATTTAAAAAATTATTAAACAGGCTAGGACAGTGGTTCTCAATCTTTTTGTCACCACGGATCCTCTTTAAATACCTTTTGTGGCCATGGACCACCAAGACTTAACTCAAGATTTAAAGCACTAGATCTGTGATGGCGAACCTATGGCACGCGTGCCACAGGCGGCACGTGGAACCGTGTCACCTGGCATGCTAGCTCAGCTCCGGTGCGCATGCATCGGAGTCTCTGGAGGCAGGGGACAGCGAAAAAGTCACTTCCTGTCCAACCAGAAGTTGGGAAACGGGCTGAGGGGGTGGGGAAGGCTGTTTTCGCCCTCCCCAGATGCATAGAGAGGATGTGGAGCCAGGTGAGAAAGAAAAACGGGCCTACCGGGCCATCGTGTGCTAGGAGCAGAGGGAAGGGGGGGTTGCATGCACGGGGCAAGGTGCATAGAATTATGGGTGTTGGGCACACGTGCACGCGAACCTCCCCCGCCCCCCCCCTTCCTGGCACGCGATGGCAAAAAGGTTAGCCATCACTGCACTAGATTGTACCAAATATTTGCGGACCCCCTATGAAAACATCACGCCCCCTCCCTCCCTCAGGTCCGTGGATCACAGGTTGAGAACCACTGGGCTAAGAAGTTCAGAATCAAATATCGGTATACGGGCAGGAAACACGATTGACAAAATGTGTTGGAGTCTTTTAATTCCCAGTAATGACATCCGGTACCTAAGGGGTAATGGGAATAACAGTCCAGTATCATGTGAAAGGCCAGTGATGATCCATTTCTGAAACAGATTACAGTTTAAGTGGCACATCTACAAACATTGACTGGGGCTTATGCAACAAATTAAGCCATAGTTTAATCAAGGTTAATGGAACAAGCAGGATATTCTATTTCTAAACTACAAGCCACATTTCAGTTTGCAGCATCCATATCTGTTCTAATCTTAAAGCCAAGCAAACCATGACTTAAAATCTACCTAAGAGTGGTCATTAAAAAGGATTTTAATGAGATACTTGCAGTACAAAAACGTAATCTTGTCAGTGAATAGATGTGGTGTAATGATGAGATGCTACCATTGGTCCATTTTTCACAGAAGGTAACTTGTTGCACTAAATTGGCTTGTGCCTTAATTTTTCAATATATCCAGTATTTTGTGGCAGGAAACTAGAAAAGTTTTTTTTCCCTTTGGTTGGTATTATGTCTGACCTACCCATCTGCAGAGCTTCAGGGCGAGAGGGATTAAATGAGGAATGAAAAAGAAACAAATTGGGCAAGAGCCTTGGTAGTACAGTGGTCTAAGGCACCCTGTTATTAAGCTGGTTATTAAGACCAGATGCCTGCAATTACTGCAGGTTCGAATCTCGCCAAGGCTCAAGGTTGACTCAGCCTTCCATCCTTTCTAAGGTAGGTAAATTGAGGACCCAGTTTGTGGGGGCAATAAGCTGACTTTGTATAAATATACAAAAGAATGAAGGCTATTGCTTAGCGCATTGTAAGCCGCCCTGAGTCTTCGGAGAAGGGCGGCATATAAATCAAATAAAAAAAAAAATTAGCCAGATTATTTTGTTCCTCTACAGTAGGGGTGTCAAACTCGATTTCATTGAGGGCCACATCAGGGTTGTGTTTGACCTTGGGGCCCCCGGAGTGGGTGTGACCAGGATTGTGTGGCCAGCTCAACGTCACTCGTGTTGGAGGCACCTGTGGTGGCCCAAGCGCTCTGCCAAAGAAAACGGGCTCCCGAGCTCTGTTTTCAGCTGCAACGGCCTCCTGTAGCCCTCTGCCAGCGAAAACATAGGGCCATTTTCACTGGCAGAGGTACTGCAGGCCAGTCCTTCGCTGTTTCCAGGGCAGCCCCGCAGGACAGATCTAAGTACCCCATGGACCAGATCCGGCCCCTGGACCTTGAGTTTGACACCCCTGCTCTATAGCACTGATGGACAATTAATTTTTCTAAGGGGCCACATGAGAAACTGGGATTGTTGTGTGGGGGGGGAACCAATAGGGCAGTGAAGGTGTATAGGCATGCACACATACACATATGTAAATTGGGGGGGGAAAGTGGTTGCCTTCGAAATAAAAACAGTCCAGGTGGGATGCAAAGGGGACAGCCAAAGGGCTGGATGTGGCCCTGGGGCTGTAAAATGCCAGGTCTGATCTATACTACAGACTAATTTACTTCTATGCTGTTTGACAAGCGATAATTCAAATAAACCATGACTTTGCATTCAGTAGCTGAGACATGTTTTGAAAAATATCCTTGAATGTGGACGCTTGTGCTTTATATTCTGCAGGTATCCTGGGATGATATCAAATGTACTTACGGAAGGCAGTCTCTCCGTTGGTAAGGAAGAATGCCAGGTTTTATTCTGATCCAACTGGAATAGTAGTTCAGAGGGAGGAGAAGGAGGGAACCACAGAATACGGCTGGCTGTGCGGAGAACAAAATTAAGATCAGTACAGTATACAGGTAGTCCTTGACTTATGACCACAGTTGAGCCCAAACTTTCCATTGCTAAGGAAGACAGGTGGTTAAGTGAGTTTTGCCCCACTTTATGACCTTTTTTGCCACACTGGTTAAATGAATCACTGCAGTTGTTAAGTGAATCTGGTTTCCCCATTGACTTTGCTTGTCAAGGTCTGAAAAGGTGATCACATGACTCCGGAATTCTGCAACTGTGATCAATATGAGCCAGTTGCCAAGCTCTGAATTTTGAATATGTGACCCTGGGGAGACTGCAGAGGTGGTATTCAGCTGGTTCGGAGCGAACCTGTAGCGGAAATCGCGGGCAGGTCCACCCCGGCTCTATGCTGTCCTATTTAGGCACGTTTTTAGGCTGGGCGCATGTTCGGAAGCGGTGCGTGCTAGCGAAGCACCCTCGCATTTTCGGTGCTGGGCAACCGGTAGGTAAATTATGTAAATCCCACCTCTGGTTGTAAGTCATAAGTCCCTTTTTTCAGTGTTGTTTTAACTTTCGCCACCAAACGAATGGTTGTAAGTTGATGACTATCTGTATTCTCTTTTTCCTACTGATAATATGAGACATTTGGAGGACACCTAAGTTGCTTGTCCCAGTTTGAAACAATTTAAATTGATTGAATTCCAGGCAAAAGAACTTCATATGATTCTATATGGAAGATGTTTGGAAAAGTAATTGCTACCTGATTCTTGTGTTATCACTTGATTTGCTTTCCATCATTCATTTTTTCCCCCTTCCATTATTTTGCAGGGGTGAAACTGCCTACCTTCTGGTTTACATGAGAAAAAATAGCACATCACTCTGAATGGGAATGAAGACTTATGGTAACTGGGAAAGCTCCCATTTACACTTCCCAAATAAACGGAACCCAGCAAGTTGAACCCATGTCTATCATCATCAGTAAATGAGCATGCACATGAAAAATGCACTTTAAGCCCTCGAGAAAATGAGTGCATAAGCAAAAGAATGAATTTCTTTCCAAATAGTTCTGGAAAGCTTCCCATAACTCCTTGGGGGGGTTCTCTTTCTAGAGCAGGGGTCTCCAACCTTGTCAACTTTAAGCCTGGCGGACTTCAACACCCAGAATTCCCCAGCCAGCTTTGCTTGGAGACCCCTGTTCTACAGTGATCACATTTTATTAATTGGCATAGGAATAAGTATTTCTACACAAGAGTAATATATATTAGTGTGTCTGTTGGAAATGAAATGATATACTTGAATTGCATTCTGAGTGACCTGAGTAATTTGCTTTCTCTTTAAGGGGACATAATTTTATATGATGATTAATTACCAGTTACAGTCCTAGGAATTGTAAGATGCTGCAATTGAAAAAGAGATTCTTATATCTGCTTAAATTCTGTCACATTGTAAAATAGAAGAACATTTGGAGGATATATTTATTAGAGCCAAGAGTTTGCAATTTGCTATATATTTCAACATCAGTCATACTATGAGGCCTTCTCTGCTTATATGATTAGTGTGTTAATTTCATGTATTTTATGATGTGTTTTATTATAGCCACTCATGCAAGAAACTCCTTGGAATGGGGAAATGACACTTTTTAAGAAATGAATGGTTACTTGATCTACTTCAGGTTTTCTTGGACATGTTCATAAGACTGACAAATGAGTAATGTGGTATAAAGAGAACCAGCTGGCTAGAAAGTTATGTACTTGGGTTGGTGATGGAATAATAATTAGTTGCTCTGGATAGCAAGCATATAAATTTAATAAAAATAAAATAAGTTATCAAATTCTGGCTAAGATAACAAAGAATTTCTGTCTACAACACATGTATTTTATTTTATTTCAGTTTGTATGAAAAATCTAGGAATGCTTTATATAAGCCAATTGTTTATAAATTATCAGTATCATCAACTTGTCATTGGTGTATTTATGAATAATGTTATGTTTTAATTATGTTTTCCTGCTTGGAATATAAAGTATTCTATGTTATGAAGTAGTTAAGTAGTTGTTGGATTACTGTTCTCTTCTTTGAACGCTAAAATGTCGTTTTAGGAAAATGTGTCAGTTTTTATGCTACAACTGCTAAGACTTTTAATGGGACCATTCTGATTGAATGATGGAAAATATAAGGATTTACATTCCTTGCAGTCATTCTCTACCACTCAGTCAGAACTGAAGAAGCTTCTTGGATGAGAAGTGAAATGTCTTCAAGGAAAAACAAAGGAAGTGCAATTGCCTCTTGAAAAAGCATCTTTGGGATAACCATGACCAGGATGACAGAATCTCCATTGTCAGATAGAAATTGTAGTTCTGTCTCATCTGTTGAATAAACTTCTGATCATCACCGGTCTTGAAGAAAAAATGCATTGGATCAACAATAGCTTTAAAGCAAGATCTTCAGGATAACCTTTCCATTTCATGCAAGCTTATGAAACATATCTATATATTTGCAACAGATCAATAGATGTGAAGAAAGATTCATCTACCTTTGGGCATGCAACTGTTAAAAGATCAGGATCTCTGCTACAGAAAAGAAAACCACTCCTGGGGCATGGTTTCTTATCTGTACTTTATATAGTCTCTACTTTAATAAGTGTTTTCTCTAGATTAGCAGAAAGAGTTAATCATAGCATACTATTATATCGATGAGAAATCACTGATGGGGCAGATCTAATAAAAATGGAATTAAGGATTGTAGCAGATCATAGATCAGTTTTAATTCAATTATGGAATATTGAGGTATGTTTGGACTTTGGAAAATCCAAATTGAAAATATTCTAAACATAATTAGTACAATCCATGGTTATATTAATCAATGTAAGAAATTCTAGAGAACGATATTAATCGGATCTGGATACAGGTTTCTTCTCCATATTTATGTTCATGTAATGATCCATTGGCAAAGTATACAGGCCAAATCTAACCTTACACATTCAAGGTTGGGAGAAAAGCTCATACCGAGAAAATGTTTTGCTGAAACAAGAAGAGAACATCCACAGGTGCTTCATCTTGGTCACAAAACAACAAACTCACTGGTGACATTTGACTGAAAGGATGTCCAGGTATACTAGATGTCTTGGATCTTCTTCCTGCTGCTGCAAAGGAGACCTCATTCATTAAGCAAGCTGGACTAAGAAATCTAGAACCACATTATTTCCAATGGATTAACAGCAGAGGGCAGCCTAAGAACTAGACAGAGAAATTCCACCCCCCCCCCCACTTTTAGTATAAAACAATTAGCTTTAGAAATGTATTGCATGGGAGAAGAGAATTTTGGCTAAATTTTCTTGGGTGGAATGGGGTGTTCTTGCACATATCCAATATCAGATGATAAAGAGATGATTTCCATTTTCTTTCTATGTATTAAATTTATTTATATCCCACCTTTATTGTTTTTATTTATAAACCAACTCAAGGTGTTGAACATAGTTAATATTCCTTCCTCCCAGAGGTGGTATTCAGCTGGTTCAAACCGATTTGTGCAAACTGGTAGCGGACCTGCCCCGGCTCTATGCCGTCCTATTTAGGCTCATTTTTTAAAAAGGTTTTTTATTAGTAATACAGATTAAAAACACTGGACATGGTGTGGCGTCTCCAGTTTAAACATTTTCATCAAGTTTTACCTTATAATTAATACAATTCATTATCTCTATACAAGTTTATACTATTTATCACATTTCAAACATGTAGATTCTTACATCTGTGAAAGTTACATCAATACCAAATTCGATCTTATCTAACGCAGAAAACTAGCATAAAAATGTCTAAACATTCTACTTGTCCATAATCATTTATCCCAGCATTCCTCCTCCTGTCAAACCAGTAATAAAATTTGTTCCAGATTTCATAATACTCTGTTTCGTTCTTATCTTTAAGTTCCAGAGTCAGTCTGTCCATTTCCGCACAAGTTAATATTTTAGCTAACACTACTTCTTCTGTGGGGGTCTCTTTTTCCATTTTTGTGCAAAAGCCAATCTTGCTGCTGTTAAAATATGTAACATTAGATAAATTGTACCCTTGTAGTTGCCTTCTATGATGCCCAGTAGAAAAAATTCCGGTTTTGATTCTATATTTTGCGTTATCTCTTCTAACCATCTCTCTTCTAGCCATTGTTTTATCTGATGCCTAAATTTTATAGCTTTTGGGCATTCTCACCACATGTGATAAAAAGTGCTGCTTCACACTTCCAACACATTGATGAATATTTTTTACTTATTTTTGCTAGCCTTGTGGGTGGGAAATGCCACCTGTAGAACATCTTGTATACATTTTCTTTCTACGTAGTAGCTAGAGTAATTTTTATATTTCTTTCCCATAGATCATGCCAATTGTCTAGATCAATGCTATAGCCAAAATGTTTACTCCAAATTAATATAGTTTCTTTTAGTAGTTCTAACATCCTGTTCCAGCAAATACTGATCTATTTTCCTTATTGTCTTCTCTGTTCTTAATAAAATTTTATCTAATTCTGTTAGCTCTAATTTTATGCCCCATTCTTTCTTGTCTTTCATGTATTTTGATTGTACTTGGAGATATGCCCATCATTCGAGTTCGATTCCTTCCTCATTCAATTTATTCCTGGATTTCAATTCTCCTCTTTCATTCAGAATAGAATAGAATAGAATAGAATAGAATAGAATAGAATAGAATAGCAGAGTTGGAAGGTACCTTGGAGGTCTTCTAGTCCAACCCCCTGCCCAGGCAGGAAACCCTACACCACTTCAGAGAAATTGTTATCCAACATCTTAAAAATTTCCAGCATTGGAGCATTCACAACTTCTGCAGGCAAGTTGTTCCACTTATTAATTGTTCTAACTGACAGGAAATTTCTCCTTAGTTCTAAGTTGCTTCTCTCTTTGATTGGCTTCCACCCATTGCTTCTTGTTCTACCCTCAGGTGCTTTGGAGAATAGTTTGACTCCCTCTTCTTTGTGGCACCACATTGCGTGCAGCCCACCTGTGCTCCATTTTTGGCTGTGACAGCCTGCTGCAACCCCTGCCAGGAAAAACAGAGTTGGGGGGGCATGCCCGGCCTGCCTGGGCTCCATTTTTAGCTGCAGTGGCCTGCAGCCCTCTGCCAATGAAAACAGGTCACGGAGGCTGCATGCGGCTTCTCTGGGCTCCGTTTTTGCTGCAGAAAGCTGTCATGGCCAAAAATGGAACCTGGGCCGGCTCTGCACGGCCTCTGCAGGGTCCGTTTTTGCTTGCAGGAGGCCGTCACAGCCAAAAATGAAGCCCAGGCTGGCCACATGCCGCCCCCCGGCTCCATTTTTGCTGGCAGAGGTTTGTAGGAGGCCATCGTGGCCAAAAAAGGAGCCTCAACGAGTGACCATGAGCTGGCCACGCCCACCCCCCAGTCCCCCAAGGTCAAACATAGCCCTGATGCGGCCCTTAATGAAATCAAGTTTGATACGCCTGTATCAGATCTTCAGCTGCATCCAACATTGCTCCAGGACCACTAACAAATAGTTGACCCACTGTGATCGGTCTGTGGTTTATAAAAGACAGAGTTCTGCTCTGCTCAGTTTATTTGATCATGGCTATAAATTCAGAAAAACTGTTAGTAATGATCTGTCTACCTCCTCCTATTTTGGATGATATTAGCTCCTTGTGACAGAGACAACCTGTAAGGCAGTACAGCTTTTTTTTTTTTTTTGCTTTTATCGAAGTTCAAGTGTGATTGTTCATGTACTCAACCATGCTATCACGCTCTTGGCATGGACAATAGGTCAATCTTGCGGTTAATCCTTGGATTACATGAAGAAGCTTGACTAAAAACAAGATACCCATTACAGTTCTCTCCGAATATATAGCATCTATGCAATGCTATGGGTGGGTGGGTGATTTTCAAGCAAAGAAATTCTCTTGCCCGACAAAAATCACACAAAACCTTTTATCTTGTCAGCTGTATACAGAAACATTGACAACTTCTCTTCCAGGGTATAGAAGTCTTTTGAAATAGATTAGCTTGCCTTTGCAACTAATGGTCTCAAGATGTTCCTGAGGGAGGAATTTAGTTAGAAGGGACATTCTACAAATATTGGGACCTTAACCCTAACCCCTTCATTTCTCAGTGGTCCCCTATGGGTTCGAAATACTTTCAATTTAGTGTAACAACAAAGAAGTCATGTTTTGAATCTGCTATGCCTCATCACAGTCACTGCTTGTGGCATTGGGACCATTATACGCTTGATTTGCTGTGGTACGAGTATATGGCATATAATAAGAGGAAGAAATCAATATTAAACAAGCACAATAGACCAAAATCTTGTGCTGCATAGTAAATTCCACATAATTTTTCATGAACCATATGCACAAGGTAATAAGATAGGAAGAAAGGCATCACAATGGCGACACCTCTGGAATTGCAGGGCCTGCTTTTTCTCTATAACCTTGGCAACTTTAAGATTGATGGACTTCAGCTTCCAAAATCCTCCACCCATGGCTGGCTGGGGAATTCTGGGAGTTGAAGTCCACAGGTCATACCCCTGCTCTATAAGGAATTGTGCCTTCAAGCAAATGTTAAGGATAATAAAAAGATTGCCTGCCCAAATCCTCTTGAATGCTAAAACTATGATGAATTGTATAAGGTTTTCAGTCGTATATGAGTGTCAAGTTTACATACTGATATATAAGGGAAAGTTCTGTTTCTTCCATTTATCCCAGTATGGAAATTCCTTTAAAGTATACATATTATACAGGCCTTTTTCTTCTCAACTCAAATCGTATTTAATTCTTTTTATTTTAAATACTAGAATACTGCCATTCAATACCAACTTTTCCAGGTCATAAAGAAAAAAAATTAGAAATGACACTGAACCAGTTTTATTGCTAGATTAGTACTGATAGGAGAGAATATTTATAGAGAATATTTATAGCTCAGAATTTTATTTATTTATTTATTTTATTTATTAGATTTTTATACCGCCCCCTCTCCCAAAGGACTCGGGGCGGTGAACAGCCAAAGTTAAAAACATACAATATAAACAATTAAAATACGTTTAAAACAGAATTAAATCTAAAATGGCTCCCCAATTTAAAATGCCTTACCCATACCCCTATAAAAAGGTCCTTGGTATTCTCTGAGCTTGGTGGTTTTCTTGCAGATATTTCATGGCCAAATTAGATTACATCACTAGGGCTGCCATGTTGCTTCCTGGAGATTTAAATTCATCTGAAGGTTATGAGAAGACTGTGCTACAGATGTCTTAGTCACTGTAGAGATGCCTCATGATTTTGCCAGTTTTCAGTTCTTACTGGTAAAAAAATAAAGCCAAGGCCATGCAAACTTTCTCTTGGCCCTTCATTAAATTCCTGTGGGTGGTTTCCTGCTGGTAGAGAAAGAGATCAGGAAACTGATATTTAAAGCACCAAGATAAGAATCAGCATTGTTTCCCTTTTTAGTTAATGATAGAAAATAAACAGAGATTCATGATAAACAGTAGGGGAACTGAGTTTGTTTTCCTGCAGTTAAAGTTGCTCCACTTAGCTACTGGGTCACTTAGAAAGGTCCGACTCAGAATTATTCTGCTGTACCATCTGGATTTACCCAGCACATTGATCCACTAACCAGGAATTCACATTTTAGCTTAATGTGCTGTACAGTACAACTCCAGCCCATGTGATTAGTTCATAGTTCAGGGGATTGTGTGAAGCCAGGAAACTGGATTAATTGGCCTTAAATGGTAGGAATGCAAATTCTGATGAAAGTGAAGAAATTGTTCCCATGATAAAAACCCCTTCAAAATTGGGACGGTTTATCTGATGATGAATTAGGCTCCCTTTTATGATACACATAAAGTAGAGGGGGTGGGGCTTTGGTTGCGTTGTTGGGGTTGCATCTCGACCCACAGAGATCCCTCAACCTGGCACAGACCTACTTAATGCCTATGTGTTCCATTCTTCCCTACTCAACCAATCCCCTCCCACTCCCAAAATAATAATAATAATAATTTTTATTGTTTATCAGGAGATGCCAGAGTCGAAGAAAAAGAACTGGAAAAAAAAATCACAAAATATCACGACCTGGCCATCGAAACTACATGGTTATGGATGAAACATGTAACAGTGATATCCATTGTCACCAGAGCACTTGGTACCATGTCCAAGAATTTTATAAAATAGATCAAGAAATTGCAGCTTCCTGCAATAACATCAGCGTAACTGCAAAAAGCTGTGCTACTCGGAACATTGTACATTCTTAAGAAGGTACTTGGTTGATACCTGGGACGCTGGCAGCAACCCATATCACCCATTAGCCCCAGTCGATGGTATTTGTGATGCATTTTTGAATGTTCAGTTGACTGAGTTTCATGTTTAATGAATAAAGTATATGATAATACTACTACTACTACTAATAATAATAATAATAATAGAAAATAGAA